AATATGTCGAAATTCCATATAAAAATTGAGAATATTTTAAAATCCTTTAAAATCTGTCACTTAAAAAAAGTCTATTAAAATCTTATGAAATCCAAATCGACTACACCCTATCCCTCTGCCTCAGATTGTTGTTGATTCTCATCCCCATCCTTACCGCATTTGTGGACTTCAAGTCTATGGTGGTTCTTTTCCTTGATTGATTGAGAAATGACGTAGGTTGGCTCAAGTACGAAACTCAAATCCCATCTTCTACATATGTCTTGTCGAGGCTTGTTCTTTGCCTATTCCTTACTTGTTTATAATGGTGGCAGCGGGTTCTTGTGATAGAGGAGTAGTCAGGGTTTCTAGAGTTTGTTCTTTTGTTTTTTTTTTTTTTTTGAAGAAACTGGAATCGATTAACCAGGGCACAGAAGCCACAAGAACAACAGAAGCCTACCCAGAGGCAAACAGCAGAGGAAACCTGGTAATGCAAGGGGATGAGAGACACAGACGCAACAAAACAACAAACCAGCGTCCCCCCTCCCATTACCAAGCAAACTCAGGGAGGACAAGGGAGTCCATCATTACATAAAACATGAACCAAGGAAGATGGAGGCCTATTGACCCAAGTAAAATCACACATCTCCCTATTTCTTTGTTCTTTTGTTTTGGGCTTAAATCCTTGTATTGGCTCTTAATTTGTTGCTTGGCTGGTTCACATCTTTGATTATTACTTCACTTTGTAAATGGACCAATTGATTTACCTTTGTTTACGACAATAAATTACCATTTCCTTCTAACAAAAAAAAAAAAAAAAAAACAAAAACAAAAAAAAAAACAGTTTCTTCAATTATACCGATTGAAACCTCTTACCCTCGATCTGGTTTTTTTACCATTCAATAGCTACATAACCCTTGTGGCTGCAATCATTGGAGTCTTCGTGACTAGATTATTGTTTTTGGTTGCAATCTTTGTACCATTGAGTGGGAATTTGGGTGTGTTTTTTGAGTCCTAACTTATATAATAAACACCAAAACAAAACGTATAGTGCGTACCAACACCCAACTCCCATGGTTGCTGTGTCGGCTTTGATCTTAAATGGTCTTGTCCTCCACCTGGGCTCAAACTTAATGTGGATGGAGCCTGGTGCAAGGAGAACTAATCTGGGTGGTGTGGGGTTGATATTTCGGGATGCAAATGGAACTTGTGTGGCTGTTGCGAGTAGGAGATTTGGGGATATCTTCTCTTCTATTTACATTGAAGCACTTGCAACTAGAGAGAGGGTCTTTTGATGGTGTTCAAAAGGGATTTACAAAACATTTCGTTGGAAGGTCATTCGCTTTAGATCATTTCTGCATTAAAGGAGTCTTCTACGAATATGTCTACTACCGGACCTATCATTGAATATGCCAAATCCTTATTGTACTTGGTCATTGAAGCTACTGCGTCCCATGTTTCATCATCAAGTTGACTATGTTGCCCATAGGCTTGCTCGTTTTGCCCTCTATGGAAGTGATTGTACTTGGTTTGATGAAACCCCCTCATTGATTTGTGATTTAATTGAGGAGTATTGCTCCATCCCTTGTACTGAGTAGCCTATTCCTGAATTTTTAATGAAATCCTAATGTATTTTATCCACACAAAAAAAAAAAAAATTAGGATTCATTTTCAACACAACAATTTGATAAGCTTGCTAGGGTTGAAAACAAATAAGTGTTCATACAAATTTCACATTCATCATCATTATTGTAATTTAATTCGCTATTCAATCAAGTGACTACTGACTTTTCATGTTTCTGGGTCTATCAACGCGTATGACAACAAATCTATAGGAGCATTAGAAATCGTGGTTTCCTTGTGGCATATCCAACAACTGTCTCCTTATCTTTCTCGTCCCGCCCAAGAAAATCCAGTGCCTTCACATTGACTAGTTACAACTTTTCATGACTCACCATCTTTCCATGCAAGTTTTCAAAGAAGCTAAACAAAAAGTCTATGAACTTTAGCCCAATTATAGCCTTAGTCTTTGTGCTAAATATATGTATGCATGTATTGATCTTTGAACTTGTTATAATGTGAAGTAATAGTCATTTTTACTAATTACGTTAAAATTTTTCATCCAATTTTTGTCGTTTTAACCCTTTATTTTGAATGAAAGTTGTAACGGAGTTTTGCTAAAAGAAATATTGTTCCACATTATAACAAGTTCAGGAATCAATACTCACGAAATTTTTAGTTCAGGAAACCAAAGCTCCAATTGAGCTAAAGTTGAGGACCATTGCTACAATTACCTTGAGATAGTTTGACAGCACGTCACATTTTCTTGTGGTCTCCTAAACCCAGGTTAAATCAACCAACAAAAGGGACGTACGCCGAGGGAATCCCATGTCAAGCACTCCAGGTAAAATCTGTAACAATATATATGCATTGGGCTAGCATATACATGCCTATTTGAGCCTTCTTCCAAACAACAACATTTTTTTTGTCAAACGATAAATTTAGTTGAAAATGACTTGTNTTTTATTGAGTAAATTTCTTTTTCTTTTATATTTTGTTGTCAAATATTAGGGTAAATCCTAATTCCTTGCGTTGAAACTCCATGTGCATAAAGGACCGTAGATGCATGGTTGTCTAATGGTAAAATACAACGAGGGCCGAGTTGTGTTTTGATTATTAACCCATAAATAGAATTCGAAGAGAAGGAGAAGGAGGACTAAGAATCAAATTCTTGTTGAAGTTCTATACTAAATTTGTTGAGATAGAAGTAAAAATGAGGCAGATACAATATGAGTTGTTTACTGACCTGAGATCTAAACAAAATAAATTCGAATGGTATGGCCAAACACTGTAGGCGTGAGAGTTTTTTTTTTTTTTTTTAAACAAAAAATTATCATGGCAATTGTGAATTACTTTGGTGGTTAGAAAATTGCTATTTTACTCTCTACATTCCAAATTCAAAAAACACTCTGATTCCCTTACTATATATAAGTGCAAAATATCGACTGTGACAAAACAAATCGATATAATTCACTTAATACAAATCCTTTTTCTTTTTCTTTTTTGTTGAGGAAATCCTATTTAATTTTCGGAAAAATTTTCACATAAACTTCTTGTACTTGCGTCGAGTTGATTAAAGCCAAGTACTTGCGTCGAGTTCATTTCTTTTTGGCCAAAATTAAGTCAAATACTTCTTCAGCTTGGAAAGGTATTTTGAGCTCTATAGATCTTCTTTTGAAAGGTTTGATATCAGGAACGAAGCCAAAAATTTAACTAAGAGGGGGCACCTTAAAAAATTTGAGCTCCTTTTTTAGACAAATAAAGCTAGTTCTTTTACAAATGTTGAAAAAATTAATTACAAAATGCCTAATTTTATTACTCTATTGTCTAAATTTTTTTTTAATTGTTGACAATCTAATGCTCATTTGTACTAATTAACCAAATACATGCAACTCAACAAGGTTTAAACATTAGTGGGTCAAAAAAATATCCAAGACAGAGTGGCATTTAAAAACTAAAAGAGGATTTTCATTATTTTAATATGATTAATTGAATAATCTACAAAGCATAAAAAATGGGAATGATTAATTGAATAATTTGTAATGAAAAAAAAAAAAAAGGATGAGAGGGGGCATGTGCCCCCACTGGGCCTTACCTCCATCCGTCCATGTTTGAATGGTTTGTTGGCAACGGCAAAGATATTTTATTTGGGTCTTTTAATTATGTTTTCCCAATCTTTCTTTGAGAAATGCTAAGAAAACTCTCAAAGTGGGACATTGTCCGTTAACCCATCTTTTTGGCACAATATTTTATAATGTTGTTACGAGAATTATGTAAAAAGATAAGGTGGTCGAGAGTCCATGGAGAGTCACACGTTTAAAAGTCTCCTTAGCATTTCTCTTCTTTCTTTGAGAAATTTTAAGGAGACTCTCCAATCTCTATGAATTCTCGATCATCTCATATTTTAGCACAATTTTTATATCAATATTATAAAATATTGTGTCAAAAACATGGGGTGTCAGAGATTCCATGGTGAATCCCACTTTGAGAACCTCCATAGCATTTCCCTCTTTCTAATTTATTAACTGATACTCAACGTTAAAGTATTAAATGGTCTCTTACCGTGAATCAAGTAATTAGCAACGGTTGTTTTTTCGAACAAGCATTAATTGGCCTATTACCGTGAATCAAGTATTAATTGGTCTCTTACCATGAATCAAGTAATTAGCAATGTTTGTTGGAATAAGGAAATTTTGCAGGGTCTGCTTCCCATGGTTATTGTCAAAAGAATGGGGAGGGGGAATCAATCACCACCCTTCATCCTGGACTGTAGCCTAACATTGTCTTTGAAAAACCGTTGACCTCCTAACTAGTCCATAATGCATCACGGTACACGTCATATGCCCTGAGCAATTCCTACCAAAACACTTTGTGTGGTTTGATTCTAGAATGAGACTCCTTCTAGAATTTGTCCTTGTAATTAGAATTGTTAATATTATAAATTATTATATAAAAAGGTGAAATATAAAAAGAAAAATATGATAGTTTTTTATCATCGAACAATATAAATTCATATAAGTGAAAATCAATAAAAAAATTACAATTGTTATTTATTTTTTATTCTTGATTGATTAAGGGACCTTAGTGTTAACTAATTTTGCAAAATATATCATCGAACGATATAAATTCATATAATATGAATAATTTCGTTTATAAAAAATAAAATTTTGTAAATTAATCACAAAATAATTTCGTTTATAAAAATAAAATGAATAGTACCAGGATTGACTTTTTAGTGTAAAAATATGATTTTTCGTTAAAGTGAACAGTATCGGATGCTTTTCGTTAAAGTTCCCATTTCTTAAAGGGCAAAGCATTCCTCATATTTTAGCTCCTCTTTGTTGGTAAATATAGAATACGGACACGCATACACTGAGAACGTTTCAAAGAGAGGGGTAAGCTGAGTTCTACTCATAAAAAAGAAGGGAAATATAGCTACCTTGTTGTTGCAGTTTTATGAAGAGATGGATATGATGAATAGCGGCAGAAACAAAATCAGTTACAAGTCATTGGTTGTGGTTCTTGTGTTCTGCTGTACCTTGAAAGCCGCCGATATCTCGGCGGCGTCAAGCAACATGATCTCCCAAGGACAATCTATTTCCGGCAACCATACAATCACCTCATCACCACGCGGCATATTCGAGCTAGGTTTCTTCACTCCAGGTAACTCCAACAACTACTACATAGGCATCTGGTACAAAAATGTACAGGAAACTGTCGTTTGGGTGGCCAACAGAAACCACCCTGTTTCCGATCCTTTTTTTTATCATCCCTTCAAACTCTTCCCAAACGGAACCTTAGCACTTTTCGACCAGTCCAAATCTGCCATTTGGTCAACAACTCGTGATCTCTCAATTGCTTCCAATTCTACTAGTCAAGTAGCAGCAATACTTCTTGACAGCGGCAACTTTGTCATAACAGATGCTTTGAATTCGTCTGCTGTCATATGGCAGAGTTTCGATCACCCGACGGACACTTGGCTGCCGGGCGGGAAGCTTGGATACAACAAGCTGACCAATGAGAAACTAACCCTCACTCCCTGGAGAAGCTCACAAAACCCAGCACCTGGGATTTTCTCTCTAGACCTCGAACAAAACGGGACGAGTTTGTTGCTGATGTATAATGGGACTAGAATGTATTGGACAACTGGTCCTTGGACAGGCAAGATTTTTACGAAAGTTCCTGAAATTCAGTTGAATTATTTGATCACGAATATCAGCTATGTTTCCAATGAGCTGGGGAGTTATTTTTCTTATGATGCAGTTTACCCCGACATCTTTGTTAAGTACATGCTTGATATCTCCGGGCAGTTAAGGGCCTCCAAGTGGGGGAGGGACTTCCATCAATGGACTTCATTTTGGCTGCGACCCTCCGAACAATGTGACGTCTATGGATTCTGCGGTGCTTCTAGCATTTGCAATCAGCAACAAGTGCCTCTTTGTGTTTGCTTGGAAGGGTTTGAACCTCGATCCCCAAAAGATTGGGACTCGGCGGATTCCTGGGAAGGGTGTGTGAGGAAACCCCCTTTAGAATGCAGTAGTGGAGGAAATGAAACGTTTGTGGTGATACCCGATTTAAGCTTTCCAGAGAATTCGGAGACTTTAGCAGGTAAGAACATCGATGAATGTAGATTGGCATGCTTGAGTGATTGCTCGTGTACAGCTTTTGCTTATGACAGTAGGTGTTTGGTTTGGAAAGGAGATCTGTTCAATGTAAAACAACTTACATCTGATGAGAACGTAGGCAAAGAGTGGCATCTTCGAGTTCCAAAGGCGAAGAAAGAGAATAAAACCCTTTGGATTGTCACTGGAGTACTTGGAGGTCTGCTTGGTATTTTACTAGTTATTGTGGTAATTGCCAAAAATAAATGTTCCGGTTCTGGGGAAAGGTCTGAGGCAGATGATGGCTCTTTGATGATGTTCAAGTACAGGATTCTAAGAAAAGCAACCAAGAACTTTACTGAAAAACTTGGGGAAGGAGGCTTTGGTTCTGTTTTCAGAGGGACGCTGAAAAATTCTACTGCCATCGCAGTGAAGAGACTTAACTGTCCAGAGCAAGCCGATAATCAATTTCTTACAGAAGTGAGGACTCTTGGAAAAGTCCAACATATCAATCTTGTTCGTCTCCGCGGATTTTGTGCAGAAACTTCAAAAAGATTGTTGGTTTATGATTACATGCCAAATGGTTCTCTAGAATCGCTTTTGTTTCAAAAGAGTCCCATCGTCTTGGATTGGAAAACTAGATATCACATTGCAGTTGGCACTGCGAAAGGACTTGCATACCTTCATGATAGTTGCAGAGAATGCATCATACACTGCGACATCAAACCCGAAAACATTTTGTTGGATGCAGAATATGCCCCCAAGATAACAGATTTCGGCCTAGCAAAGCTCATGAGCAGAGACTTCAGCCGGATAATTACAACCATACAAGGAACAAGGGGGTATATTGCTCCGGAATGGATATCAGGAGAAGCTATCACAGTAAAAGCCGATGTCTTTAGTTATGGAATGTTGTTTTTCGAGATCATATCAGGAAGGAGAAACCGAGATCTTTTGGATGATGGGTTGGAAAACTACTTCCCAACTCACGTTGCAAATGTATTAACGAAAGGAGAAAATGTCGATACCCTGTTGGACAGCAGGTTAGAAGGCAATGCTAACAAAGAAGAATTGATGAGAGCATGCAAAGTAGCTTGTTGGTGCATTCAAGATGACGAGAAGGATAGGCCAACAATGGGGCAGGTTGTTCAAGCTTTGGAAGGAGTTATAGATCTCGGCATGCCTCCCGTCCCCCACTTCATGGACCGCTTTTCGAAGAGTCATTTTGAGTCCATACATTACCATGACATTTCTTCCAGCACTGCTTCGGATTCAAGGCGTGGCTACTCAAGTAATTAGTAATACTACTATCTCTGGAGCTTAAACCTACTAATTTGCAGTATCATCCTCCCATGTAGTTTTGTTTTACAATGTACAAATCGTTGGAATAGTATCCAAAGTTTCCAACTTTTCTTGTTGTATAATTCTCTTTCTTTGCACTAATTAAATTAGAATATCGCTCGAAGAAAAGAAAAAGCAATTAAAATCTTATTTGGTCCGAAGTTCCTGCTACTCTTTTGTTTTCCTGCAGACATTTTGAATTCCGGAATATCTAATGAATGAATTTTATGAAATACTGTATTTTGATAGGAAATAGTGTGTTATGCAAACAAAACTGATTAAAAAAAACGTGGAGTGGACTTTATATTTGCGGAAAAGGACAGTGTACCAAACTTGTTTTGGAAATTATAGAGCTTTGACAAATCTCAGGGAATTTTGAGTGTGTATATATGTAACGTCGACAGCATCGGAATCCTGCGCAATGATACTACACCACACCATTTAAAATGACTGGAAAGCTGCACAAGTGGGAATCATGGGGCAAGAAGTTGAAATGGCTTTGATTAATTTGAGGGGTTTCTAGATGCCGTCTGGTTAAAATCACACGGTTGAAATGTTAAATTTAAGGTACAGTATAAGAGGGGTGAAACTGATGGCTCGTTTGTAAATGTTTTTATAATGGCTGAAAACGCTTCAAAACAAATGGTTTTGGGTTCCAAAGCATTTGAAGTGCTTTTTGTAAAAAGCACCAGTTACGTTCTTCTTCCATGAAACAATTTAAGTGTTTTTACAGGATTTACTTGCATTTTTACTAAGAATTGGTTGCAAAAATATTTTTCCTAAAAGCACTTTTAGTCATTTTAAAAGTACTTCCAAACGAGCTCTAACTTCCAAATGAGCTCTATTGGTGTCAAATAGAGACATCATATCAATAATATCTACCAAATATTGATAACATATCAACTTCTAACAAATATGGATGACATTAACAACAACGTTAGTGAACATCTGTCGTCGCTTCCGCCCAACATCGTTGACACTTCCGTCGCATCCTTCAGTTTTCACTTGGTTTATTTGTTTTTCGTTTTGGGTTGGTTAACCTATGGGTTTTGGCAACTGGTTGTAGGATTACATGACTCATTCTAGTTGCGCAGTAAGTAATGTAGTTGGGCCGACTTCATGGACCTAAGTTATCACTCTTGGGTCCAATTAGTTCATTGTAGCTACAACTTGTTAGCCACAAATATGATCAATAAGATTTTTATCACATGCAAAAGTAAGAATAAAAAACTTTAAAATACTTGCAAAAGTACAAAGTTATTGTAGTATAGAAGCTCAAGCAAGGTTGTTTTTCTCAGGGATTGAATGAGTAATTTGTATTTAAACTAATCCTTAGCTAATTATTTAAAACAAAGTTTCGAAAAAGTTGATTTTGGAATCTAAAGTAACAAAAACAAATTTAAATAAAACAATTAAATAATTCAACAAAGTAAAGAAAGCAAAAGAAAACGGTTTTGGAAAGCAATTTAAACACTTGGGTTTTTTACTTATGAATTTCAACATACATGCTTTCAAGATTAGGTTTTCCTAATGCATATTTTTCTCCTGATGTTCAAGTGAAAACGTATATCTAACATGCAACCCGTTTGTGATGTTCAGATCAAATATAAACATGCAAGACTCATTAAGCTTTGTGAAAACCCTTTGAAAAACCATGCAACCCTTAAGAGCATGATATTCGCCTTAAGTGAACTTATAATTACTAATCAAAAGAAGCCCTCCTTAATTTCAGGGTGATGTTCCAACGAAAATTGCATCAAATTACTTGTCTAAATATCCTAATGGTCGCGAATCACTAAGACAATTAGATAGTTTAATTGCGGTGATTAATAATTCAAAGGAAGCATGCATCCATTCATAAGAAAATTAATAAAATCACATATTCATGCTAAGGCTTGTGTGACACGCCCCGATCCTGATGTCTAGGGGGACATCAGAATGGCCACATGTTGGCCGACATCTGAGGGTGATACAAGTCATTTAATGAATGCATATGCTGAGAACATGTAAATCATGCGTATAAATTTCGTTCGAACTACATAAAACAATATACTAATATTCAACTGCCAACAATGATAAAGATAGTGATAGTGCATAACATATTCAGAGCATACATCTAATTCAAAATACAAGGGAAGATGCTATTACAAAGATGTCAAAGCAAGATGAAGGCACGATATTACTAGTAGGGGAATGCCTCATAGCTCGGATTGTAAACCTCATTCCTATGTCCTAAGGGGGCGCAAAACAAACATGAGTGGACCAAGTTGATATATACATAATACTGAAACAGTTAATCAACATACTAACCCCCAAAGTTTATGAAAACTCAATAATATACTATGTAATAGGTTTTCCGAAAACCTTAGCATGCCATAAAACTTTTCATGAAACATATATCGTAAAATGTGCTAAATAGTGGTATCATGTAACAGTATCTTATGGCCAAAGCCACCAACCTACACCCGGCAAAAGCCAACATAAATATCTCTCCCGGCTGAAGCCAATATATGAGTATCATCGCCCTTAGGCACCAACCTATGCCCGGTCGAAGCCAATATATGTATCATTGCCAGTCGGTAGAACAGTAACCACTAAATACGCACAAAAACATTGAATATATATTCTTTCCAATATAAGGACATATATCTCAAAGACATCTTCATAGCATATAGTCATACATCATATATACTATAAAGAAGTGTAAAAACATGTTCATAAGCAGTATATTGTCATCCATCATATATACTACAATGAAGATAAGTTCGATAAAATATGGTATTCCAAAATATTCTCCGTAAAGCATGATAGTCATATAATGTAAATCCAATTTACTTATAAAACGTTACCATTAAATCACGCTTTTCATATATGCATTTCTACTATTAAAACATGCATTTTAAAAGGGGTCCGCTCACAAATACTTCCTCGTCGAAGAGCCATACGAAATAGGAATGATGGAATTACCGCTAATAATTGCACCTAAGCACATAAAGGGTCAAATTAATAAAACTATGCTCAAATGATTGAATTTCAAAAAACGGACGTCATAAACAGATCCAGGACGTCGAAAAATATAAATGGGACCTTGGGTACCCCAATGCGCCGCCACAAGGTGGCTCCTCCGATGGCCTCAAGCAAGGAAAAGTCAACGGAAAATTGGCCGAAAAAGTAGTCGGCGCCGCCGTGGACAATGGCGCGTGTACTCCATGCGTCGACCACGCGCAAGCTCACACGCAGCTGGGCTGCTGGGTTGGACTGGGTTTGGGCCTGGGTTCTTGGGCTTGGGTCTAATAAGTTTGGGCCTATGTTATAAAGGGTTTGGGTTTTGGGTTCTATCGGGCCTTGGGCTTGAAGGCCCGACCCAAAGCAAAGGGTTTTAGGATTTAATAAATAAAAGGGTTGTTGGGTTGGGCTGCCCTAAGGTTTTGGGCTTAGGCTTAACGGCTTGAAGGCCCAATTCTACACGGCCCCAAGGGCCTGGTCTCTTAGGGTTTGGTGGGTTTAGGCTTAAAGGGTTGGGCCGGCCTAACTCCACTAGTGGGTTGTCGGACCCGATGGAAAAGAAAGCTGGAATCCGACCGGACAACTCCTCCAAGCACCATTCAAGCTCGATTTACAACTTTATGGTACGATTCTAGTACCAAAATGAAACTAGAGACGAGAGAGAGAGAGAGATTTGGTACCTTCAATTCATCATGGGGTGCTTAGAGGTGGCCGAAATCTGGGTTCAAAGGTCACGAGCTCACCGGGGAGTTTTGGGTGGACTTTGGGTGTCCCATGCTTCACTGAGACGATGGAGGAAGAGGGTTTACATAGGTGGTGATGATGACACCTGTGTCGCCATTCGTTTGTCACTTGGGTGTGTGGGTGGTTAATTGCAATCGGGGGAGAGGGAAATAGGGTATTGTGAGAGTGAGAGAGATAGAGAGCTGCGAGAGTGAGAGATTGGGGAAAAGAGAGAGGATGAGGAGGTGAGTTAGAGTGGTGCCACGTGGCAAACAGAGAGAGGAAGATAATCTAAAGAGAGGGTAAAGATAGGGGGCAAAAATGTACTTTTATAATTCTTTGGTATTAAAATGCATAAATTTGGGGAGGGGTTTTACTCGTGGCTTCATCCTAGCAAAAAGACTAGTTATGAACAATCATAATAAAAACTAAAGAAAATATCATTAACTAGAAAAAGGATTGAAAACACCTTGTAGGTAAACAGTATGAAATTCTCCAAAAATAATACGTCTCCCATCTCCTCCCAAATGGCTAAATAGCCTTATTTATACTACAAGAAAAAGGTCTTCTAAAAACTAGGAAACACAGTAGAATATGATAACTAGGACATACATTCCTATTCTAACTTTGGGAAATCTGTACAGCCACAAAGAATCCCACGTTTCTGGTTCTTCAGGGCTCCAAAACAGGTCCAAAATGGCTAGAATTAAAGCTTGAGATGTCCCGAACATAATTGTAGAAGGCCTAGAACACAAAAGACATCATCTTGGATGCCAAAAAGCCCAAATAAGCTCAAAACGTTACTTTGACAACACCTCCTTCATTTCATCGCCATAATTAAACCGCTTGATATAAAAGTTTGAAACTTTGACATAAACACGTTGAAAGACTAACGAACATCTTGCAATTGGAATGACTCCAAAATTCATCCGTTTGAATACTTTTTTCTCAAGAGGAAATCAAATGTCCTACATTGGAAATATAATTCAAAGTATCAAAAGTCTACCAAAATAATCAATAAATTAATACTAAGATTATGGTAAAATATATAGTATAATATCGGCTCATCAATGATCAAATCGGACTGCTACGAAAACACTAGGTTTCAAAGTAACACGATCTAATTCAAAAATCCCACCCAATAGAGCATGTCTAGCATATTTTTTCACAGTAGCGGGAAATGGTAGAAGAATATGAATTATTATAGAACATATAATGCATTACAGACG